ATCCTAATAGCATTTATGATGCTTTTTTTATTCATTATTTCCTTCCATGATTCTTTCCTACCGTATTACAAATAATTTGAAGTCAGGGATTTTGTGTTGTCGCTGTAGTTGTTGTTTTTGCTTGTCCACTCATTCCTCTACAACAGTTGATGAAGTTCCCTGGGCACCAGATGAACCTGATTAATATTTATTTAATTATATTAAATAGCTTTGGATAATTGAATCTTCCTCCCCCCATCTCTTATAACTCTAACTCTTAATTTCATATAATCTAAGGTGATTAAACTTAGAATGAAAAATACATATTAAAAAAAATAAAAAAAGAAAAATACATATTATTAATTTTCTCACCCTCAGCTAAAATTCAAAGAAAGTAATAAATAAATAAATAAGCATGAGTAGTCTCAGAATTAATATGAATAGATGAATATTGTTCTAATTGAAAGATAATCTGGCTAAGGATTACACTTCATTCAAATTAAATATAGCTTCATAGAAATAGGAACAGAAAAATTAAATTTATTTTGAATACACATTATTGATAAACTTTTTTAATGACACTGCTCACTGGAGGATATTATGGGGGAAGAAATGTCCCTCTCTGATAAGTCTGTCAGCATTGTTAAAGTGTTGTGACAGCTTTCTCTGAAAACTGCTTGAAGACATTATTTTTTTCATTTGCTTCCATTCAGTTTTTTCTCGTCTACTTCAAAGTGAACCTAAGAGCACTTTCCAGACTGAGCTAGTCGTCTCCCAATTCCAAAGTATACAGTAATGTGGACTATAATTTCATTTGATTATCACAATTTTTCAATCTTTTTGATCTGAATAAGCCAGAATCGAACTTCCAATTCTAGTTTTCTTAGAGAGTTATTACATCTTCTCTTACTTCTCTTGGGTTCCAAAACCCCCCTCTCTGCTATGTCTTAGGAAATTATTCTCAGGTTTACTCAGGTATAGAACACAGAGAAAGTATGGCTTTAGTCTAATGTCTGAAGTTTCAAGATGACCTTTGGATTCTTGTGTAGAATCTGAAATGCAGACACTCATAAGTAAACTGGACCTCAGCTCCCACTAATGCATCTCCTTTCATTGTTTCTGAAGTTTCTTCCATATGCTGGCCTAACTTCCTTACCCACTTTTAAGTTTTATGTCTTAATATGTCTTTAATAATAAAATAGAACGTAAAGATTCCAGACTAAACTGAATCCCTTATATTCCATCTGCATTTTAAACATGGTAATCATATTCTGTATGGACTATAATTGATTGATTTTGTCTTATTTTCCTATGTCAAGTCTTAATAGAGTTGATTATAGTTAACAGACTATTCAAAAAACATGGATTATAAACTTACTACATGCCAGGTGCCTGGAATGGAAACATGAATATAAATGGGTCCTAGCTCAATACACTCTGGCTTTAGTGGGGAGACAAATGAACAAGCAGGCAAACTGGGTGTAAGGTTTAGCTGGTTGCCAAGCATATAATATATATTTACCAAAGATTTAAGAAGATAAGAAAAGAGTGAGAAAGGGCTATATTTGAGTATATGCATTTAATCAAGGAGTGATCAGGATTTTACTATATTCATTTTCTCAATTTCATCTAGTCTCATCATTTTAAATATTGTGTGTTAACAGATAACTTCCAGATTTACATCTCTGTTACCAAATACTCCTCTGACTGTCTCCATATATCTGATTTCCCCTTGGATATCTCCATTTAGATAGCTAACATGCTTCACAAACTTAACATTCCAAACCCAAAATCCTGAACTTTCTCCCCACATCTATATGTTACACATTCTTCCCTATTTCAGTAAAGGACAACTCCATCCTTTCAGTTGTTCAAACCAAAAAAAGTTGACTCCTTTTCTTCCACATTCCATATCAAATCCTTTAATAAATACTGTCAGCTCTGTCTTTAAGATGTATCCAGAATTTAATCATGTCAGCATTCCCACTGTTGTTACTATGGCCCAAGCTTCCATGATCACTGATATAGACCCTAGATTATTTTTTTTTTGACCCTAGATTATTAAAACGGGTTTCTAACCACTCTGACTGGTCTATTTGCTTCTACCTTTGCCTATATAGTCTATTCTCAACACATCAGCCAAAGTGCTAAACAACAAAATAAGCCATGCCCTTCTATTCAACATCCTTCTATTCAACATCCTTTAGTGATTTCCCGTTCCATGCAGAGAAAACTCCAAAATTTTTACAATGGTTTGTAAGGCCCTTTTTGATGTTTCTCTTCTATTCTTTCTCTGGCCTCATCACCTGCTACCTGCTCTTTAACTTGTCTCACTCCAGCTGCATTTTGTTCCTTGATGTTTCCAAACATGGCAGACACTCTCCCACCTCAGGACCTTTACACTTGCTTTTATCTAGTCATGATAATTCCTACCCCAAACTCCCTTCTTGGTCTACATCAGAAATTTGTTCAAATGCTGTCCTTTAGCATGAGACTCTCTAACTATTGTATTTAATATCAGAACGTACTTCTTCCACCACTACCAGATTTTCTACACATGTTCCTTGTGTTATTATATGCTACTTCCTCATTATCTAGAATAATTATTAATTTTTTATATCTTTTTAGGTTGTCTCCCCAACCCCCAAATAGAATATAAGCTCCAATGTAATAATTTTTGTCTGTTGGTTTATTTTTTTCTTCTAGTGCCAAATCTATAATATCTGGAATGTTTTCAGGCATATAATAAGCTTTCACTAAGCATGAAGAATAGGCATTTATATTTGCCAGAAAGAGTTAGACAGTTTCCTAAAGGCAGTTAGATGGAAGAGGCCTTGAGACCAGAGAGGACACAGGGAACTCAAAGAATTGCAGTCTACATATTCTAGGAAGTAGTGTGACCCATTGGCTCAATGTGCAAACTCTGCAGTCAGAATCATGCTAAATATTGACTCTAATAGTTCTCCATGTGATGTAAGGCAAGTGACTTTATCTCTGAAACTTGTTTTCCTCAGTTTTAAAATGGGGTGATAACACTATAGTTTTCACAGTGTGGCTAGTAAATTTTCATGTGACGGTTATACAGAGAGTGATTTGTTATGGAGTCTGTACTCAACAAGTGGTATTTATCATTACTCTCCTAATTATTAATAAACTAGATACTATATGTAGTTAACATAGTTTTCAGTATCTAAGAGGCCAGCTGATGGCTGTTAAGACATGTTCATCTGCAACTGCTGCTGCTGAAATGGGTTGGAATGGAAAATTGTTAGGGATTAATGACACAAGATGAGCGAACAGGATTTTTTGTTTTTGTTTTAAAGCCATAGAATGTATCTTGTAGGCTTAGCTAAGTGTTTTAGACTTTTTTTTTTTTTTTTTAGAATTTCATTCTTTTTTTTTTTAATTTTTATTTATTTATGATAGTCACAGAGAGAGAGAGAGAGAGAGGCAGAGACAGAGGCAGAGGGAGAAGCAGGCTCCATGCACCGGGAGCCCGACGTGGGATTCGATCCCGGGTCTCCAGGATCGCGCCCTGGGCCAAAGGCAGGCGCCAAACCGCTGCGCGACCCAGGGATCCCTGTTTTAGACTTTCTTGTGTAAGTTACTGGTTCTCAAATTTGAATATGCATCAGCATCACCTGGAAGTCTTGTCAGAACACTGATTATTAGGCCCTACCCCAGGAATTTCTGGTTCACTAGGTCTGGAATAGATCCTCATATTTTGTATTTTTATCAAGTTCCCAGGGATATTCATTATCTATAGTTGCATAACAAATCATCACCAAATTAATTGGTTTAAAAGAACTAACATTTATTATCTCACAGTTTTTGTGGGTCAAGAATCCAGGTGAAGGCTGAAGTCATGTATCAGTTAGGGCTTTGGTTTCGTTTGAGAGCTTGACTGAAGGAGGAACTGCTTCTAAGATCACTCATGAGGTTACTGCAAAGATTCCTACTCAGGCTATTGGCCTGAGGGCTTCATCAGTTCCGTGCTGCCTGTTAGCTGAAGACCTCCCTTAGTCCTTTGCTATGTAGACTCTCCACAGGGCAACTCACAATATGGCAGCTGGCTTCCCTCTGAGATAGCAAGCAAGAGAGAGGCCCCAAGATAAAAGCCACAGTTTTTTTGTTTGTTTATGTAACCTAATTTTGGAAGTGACATCCCATTATATCTGCCGTATTCTGTCAGGGAGAAGTAAAAGTCACTAAATCCAGCCCATACTTACTGGGAAGGAACTACAGAAGGGTGTCAGTTCTAGGAAGCAAGAATTAGTGGTGGTCAAGGTGATGATGATGGTACTGATTTGGAGACCATAATCAGAGAACCATTGCTGTAAAGAAATTTAAGCAAGTAAGTGCCATGAATGGATCCGGCTTGGAGAGGTGCTGAAAATGGAGATGAGACTACTTAGGAAGCTGTTTCAGTAATCTCTGTGACCTTTATATTAGGATAATTAATATTCTTATATGTTTTGAAAATCGATACTTAGTCAATATATTTAGCAATCATATCTCCAAATTTTGCTCTGAACTTCCTCTATAAATAAAATATTTGAAAATAGCTTTCAACATTTATAAAAAGATTTGTGTGGAGTTACATTCCATTAAAGGTTTCAACAATTGAAGGCAAATAAAATTGTTCTTTTATTTACCTTTGAGCATATTTGAATCAAGAGTGGTTTCGGCCTGGACTATTAGAAAAGATACTTTGGGTTTGGTCACTAACATTACAAGATAAAGGCAATGGATCATTCTAAATAAAGAAGTACAGGCCTTCCCTTCAAACATAGATCTCTTTCTCTCATTCTTTCTCTCATTTTCTGTGTCTCTCTCTTGCTCTATCACTGTCTCTAAAGCTTAGACTAGACTGCAAATTAATAATATAATCAAGGGCACAACTGTTGAAATTACTAGGAAAATCAACATAAAAATGGAGCACCATTCCATAAAAGGAAGAGAAAATTAAAAGTAGAAGTAAATGACTTTATTTATTTATTTATTTATTTATTTATTTATTTATAAATATGGAACGCTTCACGAATTTTTGTGTGTCACCCTTACACAGGGGCCATGCTAATCTTCTCTGTATGATTCCAATTTTAGTATATGTGCTGCCGAAGCAAGCATGAAGTAAATGACTTTAAAAGTGTAGGAAATTGGGATCCCTTGGTGGCGCAGCGGTTTGGCGCCTGCCTTTGGCCCAGGGTGCGATCCTGGAGACCCCGGATTGAATCCCACGTCGGGCTCCCGGTGCATGGAGCCTTCTTCTCCCTCTGCCTGTGTCTCTGCCTCTCTCTCTCTGTGACTATCATAAATAAATAAATTTTTTTTAAAAAAAGTGTAGGAAATTGTGTAGCATGAGTAGACTTGAGTGTTATTTTTACAATTATTTTTGCATAGAAATACATGATGTTGTAATTTTACTTTTTCCTGAAGCTTGACAGTCTGGTTGAGACTGTGCACTAAGAAGCTGTCTTGTTAGCTGAGGCAGGCAGCCTGCTTGATCCCATCAACCATTCCCATCCAACCTCTGGGGTGGGTTACATCCAGTTTCAATAGCAGGTTTCATTTTCTTTTGTCATGGCACCAGAGGGCAGTTTAGCCTCTCTGGCTGGGGATTCTATTCCCTTGGCCAGCTTTTATGTCCGAAGTCAATTCACTTGCTTCAGCCTGCTTTCACCTCCTGGTTATTGATTTTGGCTGACATTTAGTTCAACTTGTTATCAATTCTCTTAATCATTTCAAAAAGAGAGAAGGGAGCAAAGATGTCTTAACCATATCACATCATCCCAAGACAGCTTTGAGTCATTCATTTCACAGAGGGGCCCATGTATGAATGTGTTTTCCTTAACATTACTTTAGCCATGGGAACCTGGGTGGCTCAGTGGTTGAGCATCTGCCTTTGGCTCAGGGCATGATCCCAGACTCCCGGGATCGACTCCCACATCGGGCTCCCTGCGAGGAGCCTGCTTCTCCCTTTGCCTATGTCTCTACCTCTCTGTGTGTCTCTCATGAATAAATAAATAAATACAATCTAAAAAAAATTACTTTAGCCATAGCAAAAGTAATAGAAAAGTTAGCTCATGAATCTATAAATATATCAAAGACCTGATTCTTTATTTTAACCAAACAGTTGTTTCTACCTCTACTGCAACCAGGTGCTTCCCCACCCAACTCATATACCTTGAGATAAATAGTTAATGCTCAGCAAAGTACAAATGGACATAATTTTGAAAAGGCTAATTATTATTCAGAAAGTTAGTAAGTGAAACCCTGTAAACCATACAAAAAAAATTAAAAGTGGCAGAGACATGTTGCATTTTTAGTCTTACAAATGCTAATCCATTCAGTTAGGGAATCATAACTGAAGTAACCCAAAGTCCAGTTGCAAAAGGATGGACAGGCAGATGTCTGTCCCCAAGATCACCTGACGATAGATGAAGGAGCTGGTTGAATTGTAAATATTACATAACCTTTTCACTAAGTTAGTAAGAGTATTGCATTATTTGAGAAAGTAAAGAAGTACATATGCAGAAAACTATTACATTATTTGAGCCATTTCTAGTTTCAACCATGGCTTTCTCCTAATTTCTCCTAAATTCTAGATCAGTATTTCTAGATGCCTGTTGAGATAACTTTCAGGTATGAGCCTGTTCCTCTATCATTATCCCCTGCCATAAAGACCAAATTGTCCATGTTGTTATGAGATCTTTGAAGGCAGAAATAATGTCTACTTTAGCTTTGTATCTCTAGTATTTTTCCCCAAAGGAGAAGAGAGGCAAGCAGATATAATCATATACCTGGGAATGATTGGATTCCTTGGATATGATTCCTTAAAGAAATGAATTTATTATGTTGTGACTTGTAAACTTTAGGTTAGCACAAGATTTGTCTCACAAAGCAGGATCTTGTTACTGAAGGATAAAACAGACATTAGCACCATCCTGGAAACCTATATAGATATGTTTATTATCAGGACAGGTAATCCCTCAGAACAAGTCAGCAGACCAGGATAAAATGAAATATTTATTCTATTAGATAGATATTAATCGAGTATTTCTTGTCCGCAAGTTACTGTTAGAAGATAGATGAGTAAAACATGGCTCCTGAACTCTGGAAATTTCTTTTGAAAGGGAGGCACAGCACTAATCACAACTATAATTAGATAATTTTCCATTGTTTGTTTCCTCTATTCCTTTCAAAGTTCTGTAAGGGCTAGAATTTTCTATTCTGGCAGCTAGCACAGTGCTGGCACATATTAGACATTCCACAAATCCTTGTACAAGAAAGAACTAGTCATTTTAATGCCAAATGGAGAGTAGTCACCCTTTTCTCTCCACACCTTTCCTTTCCCTCTTCCTTCAGGCCCCTCTGCCAGACCATTAACAGGTTCCTCAGGCATGGATCCAAATCTCTCCCAGCCAGCTTTCTTCCACTAGAGGGACCTTTCTAAAACCAAGCCTGATCCTGCTTAAATCCTTTCTGTCCAACCAGTAAAAGTGGTTCTTCCCTTTAGGGTTAGAGATCCTTTTAAAACTCTGACAAAAGCCATGAACATTTTCCCACTTAAAATGCATCTACAAGATCTTATATTTAATTTCTAGGTGTTTATAGTATTTCTGAGGCCCATTTCCTAAGCCAACAAAGGTCTAAGAACTCTAACCTAAGAATCTCAAGATAAAATACAAACTCTTTAGTAGGACACAAGATCTGTGTCATCCCTGTGTCCTCTTCTGGCATTACCCTCTCCCCAGCAGCCATACCCTCAACCTGTCTTTATACCCCAGCTGTACCAGTTTAATCTACTTCCCAAAATACACCCTGTTCTCTTGGACTCCATGTACCTTCCTGGAGTCAGTGTTCTCATCTCACAACCCCATCTTTTATCTGCTTAGTAAATCTTATCCTTCAAACACAAGTTCACATTATACTACTTCCAGGAGGCCTCCTCCAACAGTAATAAAAGGCATTTTTAGTTCTTTGGGCCATCTTTGGTCTTTTCATATACCTATGGGGTTGCTTATCTAACAATAATTATCTTTATTCACAAGTCTCTAAGCTCTAGAAATATTACTACTAATAATAATAATGGCTAGTATAATGAGCTTACAATTGGCATGAGGCACAGTTCTAACTACTTACATGTATAACACAATATAAATTTCACAAGAATTCTGTGAAATAGGTGTTATTTTTTTAAAGATTTTATTTATTTATTTGAGAAAGAGAGAGAGAGAAGCAGACTTCCCCCTGAGCAGGGAGCCCTACTCAGGGCTCAATCTCAGGACCCTTGGATCATGACCCAAGCCAAAGGCAGACACTTATCCAAATGAGTCTGGGTATTATTTTTGTCTATATTTTATAGTCAAAAAAGCCAAGGTACAAAGAGGCTACATTTAATTACTTGAGTCAAGAAGATAATCCGCAAACATGCTTATTAAAATGTATTGAATTGAGATACAGTATTAGAAATATCAACAAATTGCTGAAGCAGTACTTAAAATAGCTGCCATTTGCTGAGAGCTGAGTACTCTCACCATGTATTTGGAATTTTACCTTATGCTATCACTAATAGTCACCACACTTCAGCAAGGCAGGCATTAGTTTTCATTTAACAATGGAGGAAAAAGGATGCCTGGGTGGCTCAGTGGTTGAGCGTCTGCCTTCGGCTCAATGCGTGATCCCTGAGTCCTGGGATCGAGTCCCACATCGGGCTCCCTGCATGGAGCCTGTTTCTCCCTCTGCCTATGTCTGTGCTGCTCTCTGTGTGTGTTTCATGAATAAATAAAATCTTAAAAAAAAAAAAAAACAATGGAAGAACACCCTCTATTTAATCTCTTGACAGATTGCTTTATATGCAATCTGAATACAGAAGAGGGAACCCATGGGAAGACTTCTCGGAAGGGCTGGTTTATGAGTGAAGATGATAAAAACCATAGTTTGGGCAAGTTCTGTAGCCTGGAGAAAGTATGTGCTGCATTACAGCTGTGTCAAAAAAGGGAGATCACTTGATCTCTCAGAATAACCCTGACAATGAGGAGAACTGTAGTATGGTCAAATAGTCTCACCCTGTAGATCACATGGTCTCACTCTGGGCTTTATAGATTTACAAACTTGACTATTAGTGTTTCTAGGGATCATCAATTTTTAGAAGATTCAATTTATACATAATCACTAGAAACCAATGAAAAAACTAAAATGCTTTATTAAGTCATAACCCATTCACTAATAAGTACCTCCACTCTTTGTCCTATCTGTATGAGAAGTTACATCATAATTAAAAAAATTGCCAGGAACACAGAGATCAGAACTGTGGGAGTTGGTGAGACTTAATTTTTCAACAGAGTATGTCTATACGCCAGCCATGCACCAAAGGTATAACAGTGATCAAAAAAGACAAAGATCCTGTCCTCATAGATTTTTTTTTAAGATTTTACTTATTTATTCATGAGACACACACACACACACACACAGAGAGAGAGAGAGAGAGAGAGAGAGAGGAGCCCCCCCCCCCCCATGAGGAGCCTGATGTGGAACTCAATCCTAGACCCCATGATCACAACCCGGGCCAAAGGCAGATGCTCAACCACTGAGCCACCCAGGTATCCCAGATCCTGTGCTCACAGATATTAAATACTGGGGTTGCATCATTAGGTCCTGTAATCCTATCCTTCAATCTGCATTATAGGGACAACCCCATTGTGTGCTAACAGTGATTACAAGGAACTCTCTGAGTAATTACAGTCAACTCCCAATATTTGCTTCCAGACTGTCCCTTCCCTATTGATACTCTACCACTAATAATAAATCCATTTTAGATTTAAGAAATTCTTTTGACTGATGTTTGTTCTAACAATTAGATTATTTTCAAGTCTTTAATAACCTGCTATTCCTGTAAAAAAAAAAAAAAAAACTCTTATCTTCTCTGTTCTGGTACATGTTGACTTAGTTTAACTCTCAGAGAGTTGGAGGCCTTATTTCTCTCATCTCGTTTTTGGCACTTCATTGCTGGTTTTGTGCATCAACCTATGGAGATCAGTTTGAGTTGAAGTATGCTTCCGTACTTGTTTGCAATTTGGCAAATAGATCATTGTGTCTATAGCTTGTAGTATAGAGAGAAAATGGGT